ATAAGTGGATTTTGAGCGTACAAAGCAGAAAAGCTGCTTCTTAGTTATGGACTGAATTTGGGGATATAATAAAAACAACATGATGGCAATGTCAAGGCACAGTAAGCATATTCAGAATATGCATCACTTTTTTCAGCTACAGCAATTAGAAATGGACATAGAAACAATAATGTTAAGAGTGTTGCTAGAGCACGACAATTCAATGCTGTTTTTGAGCCTCAATCAACCCAATGGATATCACATAGCAGTAGAAATCAGCCAATCTTCTGTCTGCCACAAAAGGAATCAAAAGAGGCATTAATTTCCTTGTATCATCTAGGTATGTTTCACATGTTGATCGAGACACATCAGTACGTTATTATCCAACTAATGACTTCTATGATTTAATCCAGAATGTTAATGAAGTAACAATCGATCACCATACCATCGTATCTATCAGATGACACTTCTAAGGAGCTAAGAATAACATTAGATGACTAATTGGATAACAACTTTTCATGAAAATTATGCATATGAGCTTCAATACAAGATTTACATCCAATCTAAAATCAATTAGTAATAGATAAAGTAATTTCCTTTATATTTAACCTACACACTCAACGTAGAATTTTCTCACTCAACATATTCTGTTATGAATGTCGAATCTTGTCAAGCAATTTAATACGCCTCTGTGCATGCAAATCCAAGATTAACTTTAGATCCAGGATGAAGTCTAGGATATGATACCATATGTAACTACACATCCCACTATCAATATTGTCTACTTCAATGCCCGAATGTCGAATCATGTAACATGACTTAATACCCCTCCTTACATGCAAATCAAATATTAACTTCAGGTGTGAGACGAAGTCTAAGATTTGATACCATTTGTAACAACTCATCCTACTATCAATATTGTTCGCTTCAATCCCTCAAACCTTATGATTTTAAAGGTTTAAAATGTGTCAATAAGGGATAATTGGTATTAACTTATATACCCAGTATCTCTTACTAGAAAAACGTTGTTTGACCCCTCTCTCGTGCTTTGTTAGGTGTGGGATTTGCCTTAGGAGAATGTTGTTAGCCCCACCACCATTGCCTTAGGAGGACGCTGTTTGCCCCACAACCGTTCAAGTGGACATAAAGCCACCTTATAATGACGTTGTTTGCCCCATCAACGATCAAACGGACATGAAGAGTGGCTTTGATTATATATGTAGACTTCAGTATAAAATTACCTTTAACCTATAATTAATTGACAATAAATAAAATCATCTTATTTATATTTAACTCACCTATTTTTTTTTATTATACACTTGACTATTAGAATTTTCCCACTCCACACCTTTTAACATTCATTTTTTTTCTCCTAATGAGGCAAAATGTCAACGTACAGAAATCATCAGTGGAGCTAGAGTAACTATAAGATATAGGGGGAAAAGCATGGAGAAAAAATAGTAAACTGTCTCATCATTAACTAACCCTTCATTGATTCACCAAATAATTCAGTACCTTTAACCTTCTCGTGACATTACAAGCCATCCTTTATTTTTTTGACCAAATCATTCAGTTCATTTTACGATTTGTGGTCCTTTCTTATTTTCCCCTCTACTTTTTCCCATTACGAGATGAAACTTATCTTAACAAATTGTAGATTGTTCTCACTGATAAAATAAAGTGGCTGTGCACTCGCTACTGTCTCTCATGTTACCTAGATTATAGCTATCTTAAAAGTCCTGCAAAACAATGTAGCCATTGATATTTCTATATGTTCCATTTCCTCCCTTAATAATATATATGCCATGCTAATGATAATGAAGCAAGTTAATTAGAAAGACAATCAACTCTACACAAGTATCAAGTACACTTGAAACGAGTTTGATGATTAGTCATTGAATACCAAAAGGGGGTCAGTAATCCGTTAACGTGTGCTGCATAGCAATCACTGAGCTGCTCAGTTAATCATGTTAGATATATAAATCAACCATAAGGCATTGTGACCCATGAGCGAGTGGATGAGTTGGTAGATAACTCTTCTAACTTAATCAGGAATTTTGATTTCAAGTTTTGATAATGCAGTTTTGTTAAAACTCGTGAGGGAGAGTTTTGTCGCCCGTTGGGTCCTATTCGGCTCGAATCCAAATTATTTGGTGGTTCAATTAACTTCTAAATAACAGGTGATCCAAATGAATAAAAAAAACCATAAGGCATCGCAAAAACAACATCGAATCATTGAATTCCTTTCTAACATGAAAATCACCACAATATTGATTGATGATGCAATAGGACCTTTCATTATCCTGGTCTGGGCCGGCTTAAAGCTTTAACAGCATAATGAGCTGGGCTGTTGAAAATTAGTGCCACTTGAATGTTTGTCCAAGCTGGACTTCACTTGAGCCCCTCCAGTCTGCTCTTCAAGCTGACCATAGCCTGCATTGGAATGGACCGAATCATTGAGATTAATTCTTTGCAAGAGGATGACATATTTTTCAGGAGAACATGGTTATATTAGACAATCAGATTATGATCCACTAGCTGTCCTGGCTCACATAAGGGGGCTGAAATTTCCCAAAGAGAAAGGTAAGAATTGAGGAAAACAAACCTAGCAAAAAAAGGGTAAAACCGTTTTGAAGATAGGTATTATGATAAACTTGAGAGAAAATTAATTAACAAAGTGGAAATCAAACTCAAATAGCTGAATTATGACTCTCTCGAAATTAGACACTCTCATTAGAGCGATCACATATGACATTAGCAAGATATTGCAGTATAACAGTTTAAAGTCTTAACATTGAATGAATATACATTGTTTGAATTGTTCCTAGATTGCAGCTTAATTTTTACAAACAACAATTCCCACATCAAAGTTCACACCTTTGGAACAAATACATGGACAAAGGTCTGCTAAAAACCTCAAGAACCGCATGGCAAAAATACCCTCCAGAATCCCCAAGCATGCCCTCGCCTAAACATCCAACAGGATTTGCCCAAAAGAGCCAAATCAACCCTAATCCTCTGGTCAACAAAGTTCGGAACCAAGCCGTCCTCATTTTGTACAGAGAGGTGCATTAAAGTGGCAAGAATTAGCTAGAACGCAGGAGGCGTCGCCGCTGGGAAAGGAGAAGTTATCCGCCTGGACAACGGCAGACATGTTGGGGTTGTAAAGGGGACGGACGCGGCGAAAGACCAGTTTGACGAGGCCGATGAGCGCGAGATCGAGGAGGAGCCCCAGGAGGATGGGCAGGAAGAAAGGTAAACGGGAAGGGGAAGCAAGGAGGAGTGCAAGGGAGGGTGGAAAGGAAATTAAAAGCTGAAGTGAGCCGAGTATTAAGGAAGAGGAGGAAAAATGCGGGACGAAGAAAAGGTTCAAGGAAGGCATGAGGGTAGGAGGACATGGTGGCGTCCAGAGCCAGGAGATGGTGGAGGATCGAAGGAGATTTGGCGGCGGCTGCAGCGGAGCCCATTGGCGGCTGCGACGATTTGGTCAGAAGAAGACAGTTAACACTTGGCAGTTGAACAGGGCAAAAGCTTACATTCAGCACCTTAGCTAAGATTTCAATTCTTCATCTTATCACGTTTTTAATATTTTATTTTATTAAATTTATAAATTTTAATTTTTCGTTTTATATTATAATATTTTTAACTTTTCAATTATTAAAATTAAAAAAATAACTTTCATTTTATAATATTTTATTAATTTTATTAATTAACTATTAATTTTATTAATTGACCTGTTAATTAGTTATTACCTTATAAAAATCTCCTTTCAATTAACAGAATTAACAGAATTAATTTTATAATATTTCGTTAATTTTATTAATTGATTATTAATTAACTGTTAGTTGACAAAATTTTATTTTCAATTAACAAAATTAACAATCAGTATAAAGTGAAAGTTATTTTTTTTAGTTTTAATATGTGAAAGATTAAAACTTATAAATTTAATAAAATAAAAGTGTAAAAGTATTATAATATAAAGTAAAAAATTAAAACCAATAAAGCAAGGGATTAAAATCAAGTTTTTGCCGTTTAATAGTGGAGCAGCTATTATGGTTTCCCGTTAATGACGTGTCAGACGAAACTGGAAGAATAAACGGTGCGTTTTAAATATGAAGGTTTTGTTTTTTGGGCCCATATCTGAATGTTATGTTGGATTGGGCTCAATTTGGGTCACTTCAAACTCTTGAACTGGAAGATTGTCATCTACAAGTTTGTTAGAGAACTCTGAAGTCTTACTCTGACCCAATTGAGGATGGGCGAATTAGATGGTGCCGTTTAGTTTCCAGCACTTTCCACAGGCTAGGGGAGAGAATTGGCTACGGATACCTATGTTATTTATAAGTATTTTACTTATCTAGATAAATACTATACTTGAATTAAAAAAAATAAGTAAATAATGGGTATAAAAATAGAACATATGTAAATATCAAATCAAATAACAAATATTAGAGTTCATAACTAGTTATTTGATTTATTTAAACAAATACTGACCTATATTATATACTTACATAATTTTTATTTTTATATGTATTTATTATACTTAATATTTATATAATAGCAATAATTTTTAAAAAAATAATAAAATATAAAAAATTAAAGTAAAAGTTAAAGTATATGAGTCAAACAAATCACACATGCAACAATAATAAGTCATGTAAATAATAAATTCTAAAATAAACACATAACACAAACAACAATAATATTTCATTGTAGACATTTTTTTTTCTAAACTAAGTATATAAATATATAGTAATAAATTACCATGTACTTGTTGAATTAAGTACCAAATATAAAGCTTTAAATATTGCGTAAGTAACAAGTCTAAAAAGGTATATCTAAATTTTTTTTTATTACATAATAAAAAATAATTATCTTTCATCCCTTATCTCATTCTACCCGCATATTATGCGACTTGAACTCAAAACTTCTTACTTTCAACGAAAAAAAAATAACTATTAAATTATTTAAACGATTAACTATATCTAAAAAATTTTAAAACTAGTATTAAATATATTTTATTCCCAACCTGTATTTAAAAATACTCACCATACCACAGGCTATTTTATTTTTTCTAAACGTAAGAGATATTTGTTTTCAAGGCCGTGGTAGCTTATGAGTACCAAAACTAGGAGGTCCAGGCACTAATTGCTCAGGATTGAACCACTGCGCCGTCGTTGCTGGTTCCACACGCTATTTTGACGTCTCTCACCTTGCAACCATTGTTTGCGATTACAAATTAAATTGCAATAATTGTAAGGCCGAAAAAACAGAGTTGTGTTCACTGAGAGATGTATTGATTAAGAATTTGAATTTCACATTAAAAAAAAAGGTTAAAGCCCTTATTTGCACTTTTCATTTATTTTTTCTCTACGATTAACACCTTCTAAATTTTTTCCTCACTATTGACATCTTCTATTTTTTCAAATCCATGAAAAACTTAATATTTTAATGAGTCGTCACGTAACCGTTAACAACTGTTAAAAAATGTAACACGTGGCACCTAAAAATTGACTTAAACATTATTTGACGTTATTTATCCAATTTGGCATAATTGTTTGCACAAGTGTATTACGTGGTATCCTTTTTGATGATATGGCATAATTTTTTACATGTGGACGTTACATGTGCAGTGTGTCCCACTCCTAAAGGGACTTTTCTCGCTTTACCCTGCATCCCCACAAAAAAAAAAAAAAGAAAAAAGAAAAAAGAAACCTAAAACAAAGAGCATTTAAAATAGATCTGCAACAGTGGATGCCATGTTGACATTATATGGCGTTATTAATCAAATGTGGACGTTTTTTAGATGATGTGGCATAACTTTTTTTTTTTGTAAAAATGTGGCATAATTTCCTGCACACGTGGATGCCACGTGTGCAACAAGGACCACTGTTCTTCTTCCCCAATCTCAAAAACCTAGTTCTTCTTCTTCTTCTAGAGAAATCTTTCTCTGGTACAAAAGAATTAGGATTGCAGCTGATAAAACCATGGCATGTGTGATTGGGTCGAGAAGAACATGGACTAAGGTAGTGCTACGGACGATCAAGAACCAAAAGGGTAAGCGTTTGGCCAATT